ACAGAAGTAACACCCGAGCCTGAGCATGTTCAACGGTCATCTTTGGATGGACAGGTACTGGGAATCAAAGCCGACCCCAGATGCGCGACGCTTGGGCGAGGTGCGCCACGCGTGCCAGGCGCGCCACGCGCGCCAGGCACCCCTGGGGCCCGAGCGTGCCAGGTGTGCCGCACACTCCAGCCGCGCCAGATGCGCCACGTTCGGAGCACGTGCAGAGTGCGTCAGGTACGCCTGCGCACGGGACAGCACACATCGGGAAACATGTCGGCCCCCGCCATCCTTGTCGAAAGCCAATGCCCATCATTGTGTCTGGTGGGCTTGCGCACAGCAGGCCACGCGCCACCACCCCCGCGGTCCCTGTCAAAAACCGTTTGACAATGATCGCGGGATGGCCGCGCATGATCCAGATTTAGCCGGGAGGTGCATTTTGTATTGTTTTTCGAAAGGGGTGGTGGTGTCCCCGCGCGCAGCAGAAAATACACTGATGCCCCCGCCGTTCCTGTCAAAGCAATACAGAGTGCTCGCGGGCCTCACGAACGTACAAACACTTTCCCCAAATTGCTATTTGCATTGTTTTCTCACAGGGATGGTGTGGGGGCCCATCGGGTTGCTTTCGCATGCTCCGGATTTGCAGGCAGAGTGCGTGTGTTTCATGTTGTTTCTGTGACAGGGTTGATTGGGGGGGTGATCATAGGGTTGGCATTGTTCCTGGTTGGCTGCCAGTCGCCTGGGGGAGGGGGTGTCCGTTTCTACGGAACAGTGATCAACCCCTTCCCCGAGCGGGGGAAGGTTGCATTTTTAAAAGAAATCGGACAAGATTTCATGAGGGCCTCCTGGGAGGCCCTCGTCGCCACCGCTGGATTCGCCTCTAAATTCTGGTCAGAATGCGCCCCCCGGGAGAGGTCCAGGGAGCAGCAGTATCGGTACCTTTGGCTTCTCCAGGACGTCCGAGCGATGGCAAGTCGTGATTCGTTGTCGTCCTTAGCAGTGCCAGCCCCCATCGCAGTGGCGCGGCCCTCGGAGGGCCCCCTCGAGGCAAGAGGGTCATGTGGTGCACATGGGTAGGCTCCCCAAGGTCGGGCAAACGGTGTGGCCGGTCAAGGGTGCGATCTGGATCGTGTCAGCGTTCAAGCGACGGGGGTCAAGGCAAACGGGGGTCAGTCAGAGCGCTGGATACTGCAGGGCCAGGGGCGCACCGAGGTTTGCTTGCAGGATCCCGCAGGATCCTGCTGGATCTTGCAGGAACCTGCAAGGCCTGACTGACCCAGGCTTGGACTGATCCGGGTCAGTAGATCCCCGATCCTTTCTTCTGCGACATTCCGTTGCCGATGCGGGCTCTGGTTACACAGAGAGGGTTCTTTGAGGCAGCGCGGGCAGATTCACAGGCGGCCAACCTCGCCTACAATGCCGTCCTCCTCCTCCTCCTCCCTCCTCCTCTTCCTCCTCCTCCTCCTCCTCCTCCTCCTCCTCCTCCTCCTCCTCTTCCTCCTCTTCCTCCGTGATCGCACCACGCCGTTCTGGGCCGCATCGTTGGCCCACCTCTGGGGCTCCCCCTTGCGTTCGTGGGCGTGCTCCTCCCGGGGTTTCTTCGGGGGCGGCGGGTGTGCCCTGGACTCGTCAGGTCCAGCCCAGGCCCCCAGCCTTCTGCGACCGTCGCTGGCCTTCCGTCGCATCCGCCGCCCTGTAGTTCCCCTCTCGTCTCCCTCCTTGGGTCTACGTGAACTCGAGGGTTCTGTTGCAGCATCCCTCCCTCCATCCCTAACGGGGCCGCGGGGGGGAGGGGGCAACGATGGGCCCAGTCCCAGTGACAAGGGAACCACCAGCTCGAGCTCGGGATGAGGAAAAGGATAATCAGGACTTGAAATTCAAGGGCGGGATGATGATGATGATGATGATGATGATGATGATGATGATGATGATGATGATGATGATGATGATGATGATGATGATGATGAGGATGATGAGGATGATGAGGATGATGAGGATGAGGAGGAGGAGGAGGAGGAGGAGGAGGAGGAGGAGGAGGAGGAGGAGGAAAAGGAAAAGGAAAAGGGGAAAGAGGGAGTGGGCAGTAGGGAGGAGGAGGAGGAGGCGGAGGAAGAGGAAGAGGAGGAGGAGGAGGAGGAGGAGGAGGAGGAGGAGGAGGAGGAGGAGGAGGAGGAGGAAGTGTGTGGAGGAGCACTGAGGTTTTAGGGGTCGTATCGGCTGCAGCGGGGAGGAGGCGGAGTTGGAAGAGGACTACGACAAACAGTTGGAAGAGGAGGAGGTTGAGGAGAAGGAGGAGGACGATGACGTTGCAGAAGAAGAGCAGGCGACTGGGGTTCAGTGGGCTTCTGCGGGGTTATGCGAGGTTCTGCCGGGGAAGAAGGGGTGGGACAGAATCGGACGACGAGGCGATTGGTCGTCGCCGTCGACGTCGTCGTCATCGGGTGTGGCTTCGGGCCCAGGGTGGCCCTCCCGGTTACCCAAACCCGTCGCCATGAAGGGAAGGGTCCTGAGGGAAAAGGGTCCTGGACCCCGGGCCTATGTCCAGGACCGCGTCTTCCTCCCAAGCTTTTCCTGACGGGCCTGGAGCTGAAATATCGGGAACCGTCTGAGACGCAGCGTGTCGCTCCCTTGGCATCGCTCGGACGTGTGCATTTTCCCTTCGGCGAGGACCATCGAGGAGCATCCTTGATCACTTGGCGAAGAAACCACGCACGAAACCGAAAAAAGCACACGGAATGGACGTCCGAGCGATGGCCAGCTCCGCCAGCTCTGGCCCACATGCCTCCCCGGAGCAGAGCGCCACGCCACCTGCTTGCAGGGCATATCGGGGGCGGAAAAGAGGGGGGTGATAATTAGGGGGGGGGTGGATATCATGGCGGGGGCCATGATATTTCCCAGATTTCATGGCGCCTCTTCTTATTTCAAAACGTTCCTGGCCCCCCCGCTGGGCCGCGCACATGCCGCCACCCATGATTTGCACCCGCCCCTCTCGGACACCCCCCTCTTGGCCGCTCCTGAGGCATAGCGTGTCGCCAGGGTCGCAGGGGCCCGAATGCGGCGAAGCTCATCCATGGCAGCTCCCCTCCAATTCCCGTGCCCGTCATGCCAGAGCTCCAGGCCTCCCAACTGGCGCCAGGACGTATGGCGTCGGAGGATCGGCGATGCATCGGCGACGTATTGAGGGTGCGCGTCACGATCGACATGGGTACGTACGGAAGGAATCACCGGACTCGCTGTCGGCGTCGCCGCAGGCGTTTGCCACTCGAGATCGCAAGTCGCCTTCCCAACGGCGGCCGCTGCACATTTTGAGCATCGTGACCATGTTTGCGGCGTGTCTGTAAGGGCGATCCTCCTGATAAGACGCTTTCCTCGTGGCCTGTTTTCACCTGACCCTGCTGAGAACATCTTGGCGCTCCGAGCTGTTGTCAATGCGCTGCGTGAAGAGGACGGCTCTGGCCTTCTGGTCGCTGCTGCGCACCTTTCGGATGAAGGGTCTGATTGACCTGCCTTGAGCTGTTTCTGCGCCGGTAGGGGCAGACATATTTCTTTATTCCTCCCGTGCGCGTTTTTCTCCCGCCGAGCCTCTACAGCACTCCACGGTGACCCTGCCTGGCGTCCTAGACCCTGCACCCGCTGCTTTGGGGGTCTGGGCGTCAGCAGTGCGCTTCAAACATCGTGCCCGTGCTCGTCCTGGCCCACCTCGGGCGTGCCAAAAGGTGCGGTGCGATCCTCCGACCCAGTCTGCTCGGGCCCCGCTCGGGAGGCCTCTGCTCCCTCCCGCGCCCCCTTCCCGCGGGCGGATCGACGCCCCTATCCACGGCCTCGCGGGCTGGGCCCCTGGGCCAGGACCCCCCTTGGCTGCGGAGCGCTTCTGTTCGCGGGTGCCCCGCGCGGAACGTAATAGTCCATGCGACCGCGTGCAGTCGGAGCGAGGTTTAAGATCGAGGTCGGCCAGGGGAGGGTACCCTATAGTGGTTTCTCGTGTCTGTCAGATGTTCTTGTGCGTCCTGGGGAGGATAATTACCCTTGGATGTTTTGCCTGTTTTTTTTGTCTGGCGGAGGGTCTCATGTTCTTGGGAGATGTTTTTCGGGCCGAGGTCCGATTGTATCAACAGGATCGCGCCCCAGAATCCAGACCATGAGGGCGTGGTGTCGGAGAACGCGTGATGGGGGTGCGATAAATGGGCGGGGGGCAGCCAGGCCCGACGAAAAGGGGCCCTCTAAGGCCCCAGAAGCGGGCCTGTGGGGCCCGAACGGGGCACATGTTTTCCGCCTCCCATTCATCGCCCCCCCATGAGTTCGCGCCCAATCGTAGATACGGATATGGTCGCCAGGAGGAGGGAGGGAGAGGGAGGAGGGAGGGAGGGAGGGAGGGAGGGGGGGGGGGAGGGAGGGAGGGAGGGAGGGAGGGAGGGGGAGGAAGAGGAGGAGGAGGAGAGGAGAGGAGGAGGAGGAGGAGGAGGAGGAGGGAGGAGGAGGAGGGAGGAGGGAGGGGGAAGGAGGGGAGGAGGAGGAGGGAGGAGGAGGGAGGAGGGAGGGAAGAGGAGGGAGGAGGGAGGAGGGACTCTTGGGACCCTACTAAAGGCCCCCTCTTGGGCCCGAAAGGGCCCCATTTCGGAGCCTCAAAGGGCCCCTCCTCGGCAGCCCTCGCCGCCCCCCCGCCCTTTGTCGCCCTCCCGTTTCCTCTCGCCGCCCTCGCGGGAACACAGGACGGGGACAGGACGAGGATACACCCGAGCGTTCCCGCACGCTCTCGCAGCGCTCCGGAGCGATCCGAGGAGGCCCGCGGCGCCCGAGGCATCTGCCAGAGCCGCTCGACCTCAGAGAGTCTCGACTTATCCCCATCTGAGGAGGAGGAGGAGGAGGAGGAGGAGGAGGAGGAGGAGGAAGAGGAGGAGGAGGAGGAGGAGAATCCTCTTCCCGGCTTCGTCATGAAGTAACACGGGCATGGCCGCCGCTCGCGGCGTTCCCCTCCGCGGCCCCGTGCCCTCAGCGCGCCAAGAGCCCGAGAGGCCGCGGACGCGGCGCGGGCCGCACTGGCGGACAGCACCAGGAGCGCCCCCCGCGGCCGCCGCGGGCTCCGTGGCTGTCTCCGCCGCCGCCAGCAGCGGGAGGAGGATCGGTCGAGACAGTCGGAGGTGGATCGACCTCCCACCGTGGCACGTCGATGAAGGAGTTGGCGATGTTCGGTTCGCGAGGGGGCGTCGCGGCGTTCATTCTTGCGGGTCCAGGTCCGTCGGTTTCGGTCCCAGGCCGTTCTCACGAAGGGGAGGTTTACGAAAGGGAAGGCTGTCCACCGCCGGCCGCCGCCGCCATCAGCGGCAGCAGGATCGGTCGAGACAGCGGCGGGCCCTGCCTGGGTCCGTGCTCGCCCCTCCACCGGGGACTGCTACCTTCCCTCCAGTTCTCCTCCTCGTCTTGGCCGAGCCGCTGGGCGCGCCACCGCCCGCTCCCGCTCCTCCTCCCGCTCCTCCCGCTCCTCCTCCTCCTCCTCCTCCTCCCACTCCTCCTCCTCCTCCTCCTCCTCCCGCTCCTCCCGCCGTGGCGTCAAGTGTCCTCCTCCCGCTCCTCCTCCGCCCTCCCCCCTTTGTCCTCCTTGGCCAGGGGGCCTCGCTGCACGGCCGGGGGCTTCCCCGGAGGCTTCTCGCCGCCAAAGGCCGGATCCGCGGGCTCCGTGGGCTGTCTCCGCTGGTCGGTGGCAGCGGGGGGAGGAGCCGTCGAGACAGCGGCGGCCCTGCCTGGAGCTTGGCATCGCTCGGACGTGTGCGTTTTTCCTTCGGCGAGGACCATCGAGGAGCATCCACGAAAGCGAAGATCATTTGGCGAACAAAAACACGCACGAAAGCGAAACATGCACAGGAAATGGACGTCCGAGCGATGGCCAGGGAGGGCCTCCCTTTTTTTTTCGCGACAAGCGAGGGGGGGAAGGGTCGATGGCGATGTGGGTCCAGCCGCTCATCGAGGCGGATCCAGCCGTTGTCGGCGGCAGCATCCGGGAGGCCCCCTGAAACCGTCCTCGGTTGGCGAGACCAGGGGGGAAGTGAGAAGGAGAAGGCCTGCTCCAGAAGGTTCTGAATCCCCATGGCTTTGCGAGAAGCTTCTGCGCCCTCCCCCCAAGACACAGGAGACTTCTCGGAAGGCGCGAGGGCCTCTGAGAAGTTCCGCCGCCTTCTGATCGGAGGTGGATAGACCTCCCACCGTGGCATGTCGATGAAGGAATTGGCGATGTTCGGTTCGCGAGGGGGCGTCGCGGCGTTCATTCTTGCGGGTCCAGGTCCGTCGGTTTCGGTCCCAGGCCGTTTTCACTACGGGAGGTTCGCTAAAGGGAGGGCTGTCCACCGCCGATCTGAGAAGGCCGTCTCCTTCGCACTTCCCCCCCGTCGCTCGCCACCGAGCCGTCGCCAGCAGCGGGAGGAGGATCGGTCGAGACAGCGGTGGCCCATGCTTGGAGTTTGGCGGCGGGCGAGGGGGGGGAGTGAGAAGGTGGCGGGCCTTCTCAGGAGGCGGCGGCGGTTTCTCTTATGTCGTGCCTGCCCCTCTACAGGAGGAACCTACAACAAACAATATAAACATAGTCTCGGGACGTTTTTCAAAACAAGAAAAATGATCGTTTCTGAAGATGTTTCGACTATTTCTAAGTGTTCGTCCAAGCTCCGCCTGTAGGGGGACACGCCCGACCCAAGGCTTCTCAGAGACCCTCGCGACTTCTGAGAGAAGTTCTCCACGTCCTCGGGAGAGGCTCAGAAAACTTCTCGGAAGGCCCTCTGACTTCCGAGCCCTCTGGGGAAGGCCCTCTCCTTCTCACCCTCCCCCCCGGGCTCGCCGCCGAGGAGTGTATCGGGGGGCCTCCCGGAGGCTTTTGTCGAGAAGCGGGTCAGGACGGACCCTGGGAGAGGTCCAGGGACCGACGTTGAGCGGCTGTGGGCCAGGCGGGAAAGCCGCAGTTGTCTCAATTGGCCCTCCGAAGCAGGGCGTCCGTTGCGACCACCGTCGCCCGCCGACAGGGAGCCGCCCCGCTGCCGAGGTCGGCTTCCTTGTTGTCTCATCCCGTCACGGTCGTAAAAGTCAGGGTGGTTTGTGTTGTCGAGTTCGGGGTCGTCGGTGTTATCATCGAAGTCGGGATCGTCCTGTGTTGCCGTCGCCGCCTGCAGGTTGTCCCCCCCTGCCAGGGCCGAGGTCGTCGCTGATGTAGTCGGTCCGAGAAGTCGGGTCGAGGTTTGGGATCTAGGCTTGTTTCTTGTCGTACGATCTCGGCGGGTTTCTGGCCCCGGGATGCTTTCCAGCAGTTCCGCCTCGCCAAGAGCGGTCTGGGAATGATTGGATCGTGCGGAACAGCCCCCAGAGGCCCGATGTATGCCCTGACAAACACATTTGGGGGCGCGCACAAAGGGGGTGCCGTTGCCTTCTTGAGAAGGAGGGGGCGTTTCCAAGAAGATAAGGGAGCTTCGTAGGAAACCTCCAGCTGCTAAGACGTCTTCTTAGAGGCCCCTGGCTCATTCTAAGAACGGCTCATGGATTCTCAGAAGTCCTCCGCCTTTTCAGAAGGCCGCCCCTCTAATTAGGGCTACCCCTTTTGTGCGCGCCGCCAGCAAGCAGTCGGGGCTGTGCTGGGCTGACCCCCTGTTTGCGATCGTGAGTTCCCCCTCGCTTGCGAATGAAGATGGTGCGATGCTTCGCTTCTCTGTGAAATCCTCTCTGTTCGCTAAGCTTGCACTCCTGCGTCTAGCCGAAGTACGTGCCTCTACCGTGTATATGGGTATATAGTTTTATGCCTATGTGTACACACGCCTCTTTGTGTCTACGTATGAGTGTTGCCAGTGCCTCCTCATCTGCATGTCTTTCGGGTGTTGCCACAGGTGTCCCTGGCCCAAGGTATCCTCATGATTTCCATGGAGGCCCCAACGGTCTCAAGATCACCCTTCACCTGACCCAGAGGGCCCCCTGGGGCCCCAGAAGGCCGCGGAAGGCTAGGGACACCTGTGCCAGGAGCACTTGTGACAGCCCTCGAATCTTGGCGCAGTTACCCACACCTCGCCGGCGTGCCCAGGCGTGTTCGGGTCAGGTAGGTGGGCACCTTCTCATTATTGTTGCCACAAGGGTGCATCATTGCGGAGCATGCTTCAATGTGGCATTGCGATTGATGTTCTTCCGCATGCGTCCTTGGCTAAGGGTGTCGAGTGTGAGAGCCCTCGACTGAAGCACGCTAGACCCGCCAGGTACACCCAAAAACAAGAGGGTCTGGCATCGTACACGTGAGTCCTCAACTGGGGTGGGCCCTCTCGGACGGTTCAGACGGCCTCCTGGTTTCTGAGAAGTTTTCGAAACTTCCTCCGAAGCCCTTCCGCCTTTGAGAGGGCCTGCCACCTCTCTCACTCCTCCCCCCATGGGCGCGCCGCCGACGGGCTCGGCGGCGACAGCCGAGCCCTGCCCTCGCCGGTCCACGCTTTTCAGGCAATACGATGGGGGGGCGGGGGCGGGGCTCGGAGTGCGTCGAGCACGAGGGCGAAGTCCGAGCCCTGCCCCCCGCCACACCGATGCCCGGAGGCCCGGTGGTTGGTGGAGGTCGGGTTCGGTGCGTCGCCACCTGGGCGACGCAACGAAGCGGGGCCGTCTGCGCCGACGTTGGCGCGTGAGCAGCCCGCGTGGGGGCGCGCGCAAGCGCCCTCGTCTCCAAGGTGGCGCGCCGCGCCGGCGGCCCGCGTAAGCCACTGCGTAAGGTCGCCACGTCACCTCGCGCAAGACCCGCTTCTGTTCGCCGCCCACCGAGCGCCGCCGCCTGGCGCCACTGCCCCCCCGTCGCCCGGAGCGGGCACTCCTCCCGCGAGGGCCGCCGAAGAGCTCCAGCAGCAGGCCGACGCGGCGCGGGAGGCGGAGGCGCGCACGGCGGCCCAGCTGCGGGCGAGCCGCCCGCCCGCGGCCCCGAGAGTCTTCCGCCGATCAGTACGATTCGGGGGTGGAGAGAACCCCCAGCAGTGACACGTCGATTGGTGAATTGTCCGTTTTCGGTTCTCGAGGGGGCGCCGCGACCGTCATTTTCCAGGCTTGCGCCCGCCAGGTTTGGGCCTCAGGTCGTTTTCACTACACCACGTTGTGCTAAAGGGAGGTCTGTCCATCCCCGGTTATTAAGGAGCATCCTGGATCATCCTGCGAAGAAGCCACGCACGGAACCGTAAAAAAACACAGGGAATGGACGTCCGAGCGACGGGGAGGGAAGTGAGAGGGGGCGGGCCTCCTCGGAGGGTTCAGAGATTCCCTGGGGACTTCCATCGGAAGTTTCTCGTACGCTTGCCCCCGAAGGTAGAGAGAGCTTCCCAGCAGGCCAGAGGGCTTCTGAGAAGCCCCTTCTCGGGGCTCAAGAGACGCTGGTCAATGCAAACGGGGATCAGCCAGAGCGCCAGATCTTGCAGGATCCTGCAGGGCCAGGGTTGCATTGACTGGGGCTTGGGTGCAGGATGCTGCAGGATCCTTCAAGATCTCGCAAGGCCTGACGGACCCGGGTTTGCACTGACCCGGGTCAGCAGCTCCCCGACGCTTCGCCTTCTGAGAAGGCCTGTTCCTTCTCACTGCCCCCCAGGCGCACCGCCGAGGTAGGTTCGCGCCGTGTCGACCAGTGGCGACCCGCCGCCGGCGTTCAATGTTGGACGCCGTTGGCGACCCAGGATCGGTCGATGTTGAACGTGCTGACGTTTTCGAAACGTCCGATCCTTCAAGGTCGAACGATTTCCGCGGTGTCAGGAACCGACGCCGAAGTCGGCACGACACGAATCTGCCGTGCGAAGACCAACAGTTGAAACACTGCATCAGCATAGACATTCGGCGGTCCGCCCAGACCGCCGAACGTCTAGGCTTAACCCCATGTTGGTGGTAATATTTTGCTGGGGATAATAAAGTTATGGGTCCAAGCGAGCTAATAATGGTTTCCTTGGGAATATCGATGTTAAGAGGTCTGGTAGTCGAGAAAACTGATGGTAGCGAATTTCACAAATCGTCGAACTCGTGCGTTTCGCTTGAGACATCCTCAACCAAATGAGAATACGGATTATGCGTGGTGCTATGCATGAGATGAAGACCAGAACTACGATAGAAACTTTGGAGGGGATGATAAAGTTCGGCCTTCCCGCTTGTTGTGGCAATTGGACCCCATTCCATCCCGTGGATAAAGAGATACAAAGGTTAAGGGGGGATCGGTTAGTTTCCAGGGCTTGGGGTTATGCAGTTTTCCATTCTGAACAGGACTCGCTGTCATCGTCGCCGCAGACGCTTTCCACTTGGCACAAAAGGTCGCCTGCAACACCGACCGTTGTCGGTTTGGGGTAATACATTCGATTGGCCATCGTACATACCCATGTTTTCTGTGCCCACTTCGACTGTGCCAAGACAAGTTGTTGCGTCCGTTTGTTTGTCGGTTGCGCGCTTGGTGCCGTTGTGGCCACCGTTGCGCTGGCAGGCACACGCGCACAGCTGGCACGGCGGCTAAAGGACAACCCTCCCTGAGATCTTTGCACTGCGAGTTACCACACTCGGCGGCATCGCCTTAGTTCGGGCCCCAGGACCCTCGCACAGCGATTCGGCTCGAAGCATGTCTAGGGCTTCGGTCGTGGTGCTCTACGATGTTGCATTTGGTTGTGACGTTGGTTCGCAGAGTACGTACTTCTGACACGAGGGTGAATCCCAACCTGTTGCTTTTGAGCGGTGCCCACAGTGTCTGTTGCATTCGGGTTGTCCGCCTTGGAGTGGTAATCGGTTGGTGTATCTCCACGGGGCACTGATCCTTCGGCGGAAAGGCTCATCTTCTTGACCCATGCCATTGATGTGGTGTCGGAGACCATCGCACAAGCCGCCGAGGCACGAACTTGCCATGTCAGCGGAGCGGATCTACGATTGAGCTTAACATTCGCTCTCAATCGTCCCCATTTCTACTCCTTCCCCCTTCCTCCTCCTCCTCCCCCTCCTCCTCCTCCTCCTCCTCCTCCTCCTCCTCCTCATCAGCATCATCATCATCAGCAGCATCATCATCAGCATCATCAGCATCAGCATCAGCATCAGCATCATCATCATCAGTGTACCCCCTTCCTTCCTTCTCACTGCTCTCCTTCCCCTCCCTCCCTTCTCCCGGGAGCGCCTTGGAGGCTCTCTCGGGGGATGGTCAAAGGCCACCCTGGGGCCTGCTAGGGGGGCCCGTCGAGGGTGGGCGCGATGGCTCCACCGAGCTCTTTCGAAGAGCCCCGGCCGAGGTGGAGGAGAAGGAGGAGATAGGAGGAGGAGGAGGAGGAGGAGGAGGAGGAGGAGGAGGAAGAGGAGGAGGAGGATGAGGAGACGCAGGAACGATTGAGATGAAGGAGTGAGGAGGAAAGGATGAGGAGGAGCAGGAGCAGGAGGAGGAGGAGGATGAGAGGAGGAGGGGAGGCGGGAAAGTGAGAAAGGAGGATGAGGAGGGGAGGAGGAGGAGAGGTAGGAGTAGCGTAGAGGAGGAGGAGTAGAGGAGGAGAGGAGGAGGCGGAGGAGGAGGAGGAACGATGAGGAGGAGGAGGGATGCGTGGTGAGGGAGGAGGAGGAGGAGGAAGAGAGGAGTGGAGGAGAGGAGAGGAAGGAGGAGGAGGAGGAGGATGAGGAGGGGGAGGAGGAGGAGGGAGGCAGGAGGGGAGGAGTAGGAAGAGAGGAGGGGAGAGGAGGAGGAGAAGGGGAGGGGGAGGAGGAGAGGAGGAGGAGGAGGAGGAGGAGGAGGAGGAGGAGGAGGAGAGGAGGAGGAGGCGGAGACGATGAGGAGAGGAGTAGGGAAGGAGGAGAAGAGGAGAGGAGGAGGAGGAGGATAAGAGGAGGAGGAGGAGGGGAGGAGGAGGAGGCAGAGCAGCAGTAACAGAGCAGCAGGGAGGAGGAGGAGGAGGAGGAGGAGGAGGAGTAGGAGGAGGAGGAGGAGAGGAGGAAGGGAGGAGGGAGAGGGAGAAGGAGGAGGGAGGAGGGAGGAGGGAGGAGGGAGGGAGGAGGAGGAGGGAGGAGGAGAAGGGGGAGGGAGGAGGGAGGAGGGGGAGGGGGGGCGGAGGGGGAGGAGGAGAGGAGGAGGAGGAGGAGCGGAGGAGGAGGAGGAGAGGAGGAGGAGGAGAGAGGAGGAGGAGGAGGAGGAGGAGGAGGAGGAGGAGGAGGGAGAGAGGGAGGAGGAGGGAGGAGAGGAGGAGGAGGAGGAAGAGGAGGAGGAGAGGAGGAGGAGGAGAGAGGAGGAGGGAGGAGGAGAGGAGGGGGAGGGAGAATGGGAGGGAGTGGAGAGGAGGAGGAGCAGGAGGAGGAGGAGGAGGAGGAGGAGAAGGAAGGAGGGGGGAGGAGGGAGGAATCTCGGAGACGCCTGGGCGGGTTTCTGGGCCGTGGTGATGCCGTCGCGGGGCGTTCTCGGGCCATCGTGGGCCCGTCTTGGGGCCCTCTGGGGCTGTTTGGGTTGGGCCGTCAGGTGATCGATCATGGACCCCCTGCTGACCGCAGCCATCCAGCTGTCGCGCCGAAGGCCACGGGAAGCCGCCGAATACCGCCGCAAACCGAGTAAGACCACCGAAGACTGTTAGAAGTTCGCCGATGGCCGCCAGAAGACAGCCGAAGACAGACGAGGGGTGTTGAGTAACAAGGGGTCCGCCGTCTTAGAGGAGTCTTGAGGCTCTCTGAAGGCTTCCGAGGCGATATTCAACGGGAAAGGTTCGGAAGCACCAGAAACAGTTCAAGGGCGTCGGCAGCAATTTGAGGAGGGGAGATTGCCAGGGTTCTCGCCCCGAGGGGATCTTCTTTCTGTATAGGTCTCCACGAGCGCCCATTCGCAGGTTCGCAGCTCAGGGCGCGGTTTCCTAAAACTGGCGTCTTGCATACAAGAACGCAATCGAAACCAAATCTCTAAAACTTCAGCATCCCGCGTGCCTCGTTTGGCGCATCGCCCGCTCACCAAAGGACACGTACCACCAACACCAACACCAACATCAAACGTTTTGACCATCATCTCTTGTGGTTCTGAAGGGCTCTCTTGTGGCCCTCTCGGGCCCTCTTGAGCCCTCTTGGAGACCCCTTGGGGCTCTCCCATGCAGGCAGTGGGTAGCTGGCAGCGTGCCAGGCGCGATGCAGGCAATGCGCTGTGTGCAACGAAATCTTTGGAACGAGTTCTGACAACGAAACTCAATAATGCCTCTCGGGCGCCGCGGGTTACTCGGGAACGGCGGTCGCAATCCAGTGCGCGCCATTTGTGTCGCGACCCGCGCCGCTACCAGGGACCGCGTCGCCGCGGGAGTGGTGGCATCGTCAATGTCGCGCGTAAGAGCGCGTGTGACCTTGCCAAGAAAATCGAAGTAGTAGCGTTGTTCCTACGGCGTTACCGCGCTCGTGCAAACAAGCCAGTGCGCGATTACGCTTCGATCACCCATCGCGAACTTACAAACCGTGGTGCTTCTCGCATCGCATCGCAGAACATGCAGAAGTTTCGTTGCGACTGTGATATTGTGAAGGCTTTACGGCCGGTGCAGCCCGTCTATAAGGACGACGACCACGACGACGACGATCACCACGACGACAACGACAACGACGAGCTGATGACCCTGCCACAGGCTGGGGACATGGGGTGGGCGGTAAAGGGAGGTGGAGGAGGAGGAGGCGGAAGGGGAGGAGGAGGAGGAGGAGGAGGAGGAGGAGGAGGAGGAGGAGGAGAAGAATGAGGAGGAGGAGGAGGAGGAGGAGGACGACGAGGAGGAGGAGGAGGAGGAGGAGGAGGAGGGGGAGGGGGAGGGGGAGGGGAAGGAGGAGGAGGAGGAGGAGGAGCAGGCGGAGGAGGAAGAGGAGGAGGGGAAGAAAGAGGAGGTGGAGGGGAAGCAAGAGGAGGAGGGGAAAGAGGAGGAGTAGGAGGAGGAGGATCAGGAGGAGGAGGAGGAGGAGGA